CCATGACTCATGGTCGAATAAGAAATGGCCATGAGGACCAATAAAAATACGACACATGGTCCAATGAAGAAGTAACACATGATCCAACCACAACATGACACGTGTGCCAATAGAAAACTAACATGTGGACAATAGGAACCCGACACGTGGTCTACTAAGAACCTGATACATGTAACAACCAGAGATGGCCACGTTGTGCAATAAGAAGGTGACACATGCCCAAACCATCGTCAATGCAACCGGCTATAGCATGTACACATGGAAAGCATCTTCAATGGAAGTGCCCACCAGCATGGTAGCCCCTTGCCACGCATGCCAAAACAGTTCTATAACGATCTGTTTTTCGTCACAGATCAAGCCACTTCTATGACGATATTTTGAGATCATCACGGAAGTTCAAGTGTGACGCGCTTTGCTGTGACGAGTCATTTTTCGTCATAAATTCATTATAAAAATAAAATTATGACGAATTTGGTTTCTTTAGTTACGAAAGTTGTTCGTCATGAAAGTGGAAATTCCTAGTAGTGAAAGGAGAATGTGGCAGCGCCGAAGCCAGCTAAGTCCACAACTGCTCCAGCTAACCCACCGACACCCCTTGAGCAGCCAAGAGTGACAGCAAACTAGAGCAGCAGGTGGGTGCCAAGCAGTAGAAGGTGGAGAAACCCACCAAATCATCTAAGAGTGCTCGTGTGGGTTCTATATGGACACAGGACAACGCCAATTCAAATTTGGAGAGCCAAGCTTGAGAAGGCAGGACCTGGGTGTGTTGCGCTTCATGCCCACTACATGAAAGAATGTGAAAAGCGGAGAAAAGGCGGGATGGTTGCTGTGATCAAGTGCCAGCATTTTTTGACATATGCGTGGCTCAGCGGGCCCATTTGACAGGCTCGCTGTTTTTTATTTTTTTTAAAAAAAATATTAACACAGGCATATGTGCGGCTCTGTAAACCTTGATTAAGAGGCATTGAAGTGGAGGCGGACAGCCTAGCCGCCTTTGTTAATAATTTCTGACCGACTGAGAAAATGACTCTTGTAGTTGTGGTGGCTTGTTTAAGAAGTCCACGTGTGTTAAACAATTAACAAATATGGTCATTTTAAAGCATCCACCTTAATACCTTATAATTGGGGACGAATTTCAAATGTTTCAATACTTTATATTTTAGGACAAAGAGAGTAGTAAACTACTCCATCTAAAAAAGAATATAGTTCTAGGTTTCAGAAAAGCTTTTCAAAGTTTGACCAAATTTATATAAAAAATAATAAAATATCAACATTATGTCTTCAGGTAGATTGACCATGAAAAGTATATTTCATAATTAATCAAATAGTACTTATTTGGTATCATAATTGTTAGTAATTCCAAACTTAAAATTATTTGACTTCTTGAAAAAGTAAGAATTGCATTCCTTTTAGGATGATTACACGATATTACGAGAGGTTCACATGCTCAGCATCGACTTTTTGCATGCATCAATGAATACGGGAAACAACTGAGAGGTATTTGGGATGCATAAGAAGCCACCGTTTACATACATCAAGAAACGATGGGAAGGAGGACAATAGGTTGGCATACAAACCAATGCACTACTACGCATTTCTTACACACTAGCTAGCTAGTATGGTGCAAGGAACCGCATAACCAAGAGCTAACATAGATTTAACCAGACCAAACAAGAAATCCTCAATAGACAGACACGATGTCATTGGCAATATTATAAGCATCTTTGGAAATGCCAGCCAATCCCATCCTCGCAAATCCAGAGAAATAGAGGCCATTTTCACCTTTCCAAATATTGGGATAACCTTTGCTTGGACGTCCGTCACTGTTGAGCACGCACTTGTCGTCCTGTGCCATATAAAAGAAAAGGTACATCTAACCCTAAGGACAAAAGCCATGCCAAGGCAGCTATGTATTACGAAACTTGAACAAGAGAATCTTGTTCGTACCTTGAGCCACAAATTCGCAGTGCTTTTGTAACCTGTTGCAAACACGATGACATCAAATTCGCAGTCATTCCCGCATTCGAATTGAACATTGTTTCCAATGATCTTCGATATCCCCTTGAACACCTAGCAGAGACATGGTATTTTTGCACCACCTTTGGTAAGAAATTTATTGTATATTCGAGTACGCTTACCAGGACTTATTTAAAACGACTAGTACCCTTACCTTGACGATGCCTTTCTTAATCAACCCTGCTGTCCCAACATCAATTACACAAGATCTACCCGTTTTGGATTTGAGTAGGAGGGGGCCGATTCTAGGCCGCACGATGCCGTACTTTGATAGATCACCAAATATGAAATCGGCTATGTTTGCTATAAAAAGATCCACTATTGTAATTGGTATATATTGGACAAATGTCATTCCCAGACGGATCAATCCCTTTGTCATTATGTGTACCTACACTCAAATAAAAAATGGAAGGTTCAAGGAACACTGAAAAAAAAAGATCCCTTCCAAGTATCTATATTCACAATAAACAATGAAAGAATATTCATCACCCAATAAATCAAAATATAGCAACTCACCCACAAATGCCCAATTCCCCAACATACATGGTATTAGATTTAATATACATTTAGGTGGTGTTTGGCAGAGCTCCACGCAGCTCTAGATCGAGAGAAAAACACCTCTGCTCCCAATTTTCTTAGCCAAACGCCCCCAGCTCCACGAACTCCAGATCTACCAAAAACCTAGATCTAGCTCCCAAATCCACCAAATCCATGGCCAAACGGCCCACCCTGCGCTGGCCACGCGCCCCTGGCCCGCTAGCCGTGCCCTGGTCGGCCACGCTCACGCGCCCCTCCCGTGCCACCATGGCTGCCCATGCGGGAGGAAGAAGCCAGGGGAAGAAGAAGATGCATTTTTTCACTTTAGGCCTTGTTTATGTTTTAATAATTGCATGAGTCCATCTCAAAATTGGAGCTCTACCAAACGGTTTAGTGGAAGCTTAGCTCCACCATGGAGCAGCTCCTCTGGAGTTGTGTTTTCAGAGCTAAAGCCCTACCAAACGGGCCATTATTATGTAACTAGACAGATCTATCTATAGTAAACCTCATAGAAATTACTTGTTAAGGTCACACAAGCCAACTTGTGATGAGATAAACTACAATTCAAAGAGATATCCATAGAAATGTTTTATAAGACTAGATTACACGTGACTTAATAAACTACTTTGACGGATAGGAATGTACATAGATGAATTTATACATTACTAAAGCAAAATATGCATACCGGACTGCGAGCAACAATTGAGGTGTCGGCACCATGGCTTGCAAGATCATAGGCAATCTCCATCCCGGAATTTCCAGCACCAACCACGAGCACCCTTTTCCCAGCATAGCCGCTTCCTGACTTGTAGGTTGAAGAGTGGGTAGCCTCCCCGTGGAAGCTCTCTAGACCCAGGATCTCTGGAATCCTCCCCTCTCCATTCTCACCGGTGGCCACGACCAGGAACTTGGCTGCATACAGGATTTCTGTGCCCGCAACCGTGTCACGTGCGGCTACGATCCAGCGGCTGGTTCCTTCATCGTATGCTGCCGACACAACGGAAGTGCAATACCTGGGCTTGATGTCAAAATGTTCGGCGTAGCAGTCCAAGTACTTCAGAAACTCCTCCTTGGGAATGTACGTCGGGGTGCTGTCCGGATGCGGCATGTACGGCAGGGAGCTGAACTCCTTGGACAGGTGAAGCTTGACGCGGTCGTAGGTGCGGTAGCGCCACAGCGATGCGCTGCAGTCCTCACGCTCAACGATGAGGTAGGGGATGGAACGCTGCCTGAGGCATGCCGCCGTCGCCAGTCCAGCTGGTCCAGCGCCGATGATCAGCACAGCCAACTTCATTTTTGTGCGCGCTGGATGCACTAATCTCTATTCCGATGAGCTAGATATGTGGTCCTACCGTTCACTCCTTGACCACGGGTCAGAAGGTGTGTTCTATTTATAAAGCGGTATCTCTATTGTGCCAGATTTAGCTGACAGTCAATTTCATGGTAACCTGTACGTGGAAGAATCTTTTTGATTCTACTTATTAATTACATCCAGTTTTTGTCAAAATTCATGCTTATCTAGTTGCGTCAAAGTTTGGTAATGGATGTCCAGTGGGAGGAAACGAACATAGCTAAAGTAAAGCCATAAATGATTTTCTAGGTACATAACTTTTGCTATGCACCTAGATATATAATATGTCTAGATACATAGTAAAAAAATTGTATCTAGAAAAGCCAAAACGGCTTAAAATTTGGAATGGAAGGGAATATTTCAGGTTGCCAATTTTGAATTTACATGGAATATTCCCTCGTGTGATGTGTTTATCCTGTGATGCAAAATTACTTGCCAAATTAGAGATAAACAACAGTATGAATGGGCCTGTTTTGGTGAAGAAATTTAGTTTTACACAGAAACTTTCTTTTTCTTTATCCTTTCTTAGGATGTGGTTTTTTTCATTGCAAATTGCGGCATGAGGATTTGTCTGGGCAAGATGACTTTGCGAACAACGTAGTCTACACTCCTACATAAGTTAACTGTAGGGGCGGCTCTAGAGCCTCAGGGCGGGCCGCTGCATGACCGTCCTTCTGTCAAAGGCGGTTTCACAGAGAGGTGCCTCTGTGGGCGGGTTTCGACCGTCCCAAGAAGGTGCCCTCTGTGAGGCGGGTGGTGTTTTTAGCCCCTCTGATTTTTTCTGTAGGGGGGCGGTAATATCACCGCCCTGTAGTGGACTTTGTAAGGGCGGGCTGTATCACCACGCCCTGCCAGGTAATATCTGTAAAGGCGGTTCAATCAAGAACCGCCCCTACGATGGATTTTCGACAAAAAAAAAATAATTTAAATTCAAATCTGACCACATATATATATAATTCAAATTCGAATCTGACCGCCACAAATATACATATATACATCCACAAACACAAGACAATTATTTAGAACATCATCACAAATTATAATTCACAAAAATCATAATTAGTAAATATAGAAAGATAATATTTATACATGTAAATCAACAATGGCCAAAGCAACGCTCAAGAAAGGCATTGGAGAGGTCATTATCACTAGACAAATGAAAGATCAATTTAATGTGCAAATTCAAGTAGGACCTGGCATCTGGAATTCCATGGCAAATGACTTCGTTGACAGACCTGAGTACAAGTGACAACAATGTGAGCAATACCTTTAGTCTCCTAGAACTGATACCAATAACTATTAATTAAAACAAAGACAACCTACGTGCAACATGACCTGGGGAAGAAATGGTAATTCAATGGAGATGGGTATCCACCTGAGGATCAAGAATGAAAGTTATGATCAATAAGAGAATCAAATAGGCATGATCAAGACACAAATAGTATTTTTCTTAAAAATAGTTGTAGTGATCACAAGTTCATCATTCAATCAACTGGAGTTCAATTTGTTGCATTTAATTCTTAAAGGATGTTGATCTCACCTCTAGCAATTGTCTCTTCATGGACAACTCTATCAATTTCATCTGTTGTAATTCCTGGTTTAATTACACGAGCAGCTGCATCTAAAACCTCTCTTGCAATCTATAAATGATAATACGAGATAAAGCAGAAAAGATTAGGAAAGTGAAATTATAATGTCACAACTAAGAACTCATTTACATATGCTGGGAACTTACTCGACATGTTTCTCTCATCCTTTCTATGAGTTCAGGGGTCTTAATCTACAGAGGCACAAAGAAAGCAGTAATCATCAGAAATTTGTTCATGGAACATATGTGATACTCAAAAACCTCTGAAGGATTTTACCTCTACTCTTTTCTGCAAATCACTATCTGGTTCTATCTTGGGAATTCCCTAAAAAGTATTACAATGTCAGGGAGATTTGAAAGAGCATATTGCAAGAGATATCACTTAAAGTGGAATGGTGAGACGACACTGCATGCATACTGTTTAGGAAGAGACCCTTAAAACAACAGGAACTTACATCAAGCGCCCAATCAGGCTTCTCAATTTCATCTGGCACCACACGCATCTTTGATATTGGATATGGTCTCAATGGACTGAAAGACATAATCATTCAATAAATGTGAGAAAGGTACTACCCAAATAGCTCATTCCTCCCACCCTAGATTATTAGCAAAGAATAAAGGTGCATTTATGTTCACATTTTTCAATTTGTCAATGCTCTATTTTGGTGTGAAAATGTGAATGGAAAGAAATGTTCAACACCATGTTTACTGCATCCATGAAGCCACTTTGTTGCTCAAATATACTGGAACTCTCAAATGCGCAGTTTAATGCTAAAAGACCCATACATGGACAGTGCATAACCAAGTCAAAAAACCTATTGTGGCTATCTAAAAGACATTGGTTCACTGCACATATATGTTAGATTCACTATCGATAGTTAACTTTTTCATAGCTCATTTGCTGCTCTAAACCTTTTGCATGGTTGTGGCAGGGTTATCCTTAGTGTTCTACATAGGTTGTGTCAGAAGGTACCAGCATTTATTTAAGAAGGTAGGAAATCAACCAGCTGAAAATTTACCCTGTCCAATCAAAACGAGGAAGTTCCAATGCACGTCCCCGCCCTTTTCTCACATAATATTTCCATCCTTCTGGAGACTGCTGGGATGCCAGTGCACCAGGCTTTGGGTGAATAGATTTGTGAGAGCTCCATGCTACCCTAAAACAATCCAGTGTGCTGCAAATGATTTGTGGACACAAAAGAATTTAACGCTTTCACTAGTTCAAAAAGGTGAAGGAGCACACATGAAACATAATTCTACCCTGCACTGGTGTGCCAGCATTTCCAATGGATACTTTGATATAAAAAGATGTGTTTCCTTTAAAAAATCAAAAGATCAAGGATATGAAAAAAATACCATTTCCACATAAGGCCATAACTAAATGATATATGCCTTGAAAATATGCAGAAGGTTTTATGCTCTGTGTTGTTAAAACAATCAAACTAGCTGATACTCATTTATCCAGAGAGCTTCCTACTATCATGATGTTCCAATGCAGTAAAACGAGAGAGAGGAGCTTGCCACTGACCAGAAAGCTGCGTTCTCATGAGGTAGCTTAAGTTCAGCACACTTGGGGCATCTGAAAATCAACACAACAGAGCATAAGCAATGACTTGAAGAAACCAACATGTCTATTATGTGCTACTTTCCAAAGTATAACTCTGCTTTTCCAGCCATATATCACAGCAATGAACAATCAGAGCCACCCAGGTTCTGCTTCAATGTTCTAACTACAATTTTTCCAGCCAATATATCACAACAATGAACAATCAGAGCCACCCAGGTTCTGCTTCAATGTTCTAACTACAAGCAAATGAGAGCTAAAGACCCAATTTCTATAACTTAAAATAAATATCGTCACAACAAAGCTGCGTCAAGCATCAATTCCTATTACTAGATGGACAGGTGTAGGGCGTCGAAGCAAAACGCAGCGGGTAAAACTCGACAGCGGATCACTGGTGGAGACAGGAAGCGATATGTGCCAAGCAAAGCGCAGCGGGGAAAAGTCGACAGCAGATCGCTGGCGGAGAGAGGAAGTGACATGTTATCGGGAGGAGAGAAAAACGCACTAGAGCTGAGCGGGCTTGCCGCAGCGAGCGCAGGGGGGCGACGGCTCCGGGGCTCCTTTCTCCATCCCGGCTGCCTGCACCACGCCAATTGGATCAGGCGGATCAGTAGACTGCTGGACCCGGGCAGGAAGGGCGCGGAGAACAGCAGAGAAGAGTCCCGTCCGGCTCACCTGTGGTGGCGGAGGCTAGGGTTCCGGCGGCGCGGGCGGCGGACACGAGGGGAAAAGAGGAAAAATGATGTGGACGAGTCAGCCGAGGGGATTTGCTCGCTGCCTACCTGCCGTGCTGAGAGTCAATCCGGGCAGGGAGGGGCAGGCGACGGCGGTACATATACAGTTTGGCAGGCTTCTCTAGCGGCTTCATAAACCGTTTGTAGCCGTTTTCTGCTAAACAAGGTAAAATAAAATGGTTTCACCGATGAAGCCTCTAAAAATATGTTTTCATAGAGCTTTGAGGTGGGAAGAAGCCAAAAATAGTGGCTTCTCTCGACTTCACCTTATTCTATATGACGTTCTCTGAGAGCATATTTTAAGAAAAACTATATGTGAAGCTGTTTTGCCAAACGATTTATCAAAACGGCTACAGCTCCACCCATAGAGCTATTCATGGAGCTGAAGCCTCAAAAAATGTCTTTATGGGTGAAGTGGAACCGTGCCAAACGGGGCCTAAAACAACTGCAACAACTTAAAATTGTAAAATTAAACCTTTCAAAATGAGAAAAAAAAATTAAATTTTAAAAAATTAAAATTAAAAGTACTAAAATAATTTTGAGACACCAAATGATCTTAAATGAAAATTTGATAAACATCAAAGTTGTAGAGGCCATCAAGATCTACAACTTTTATTTTGGTTATCTTATCATTTGACTAAATTTGAATCTTTCAAATTTGAAATTTTAAAAAATAACAAGTTTGAACCAAAATTTGAGACCCAAAATGATTTCAACATAAAAAGTGACGAATACCAAAGTTATTCAACTCATTAATATCTACAACTTTTATTTTAGTCGTCTTGTCATTTGACAAAATTTGAACCTTTCAAATTTGAAATTTTGAAAAACGACAAGTTCGAACCAAAATTTGAGACCCAAATTGATTTCAACATAAAAAGTGATGAATACCAAAGTTGTTCAACTCATAAATATTTGCAACTTTTATTTTGGTCATTTCTTCATTTGACAAATTCTTAGCACATATTGTTCACTAATCTTACACATGTCTCGTATAGTTTATAAAATCTTATGAGAGATGTGTCACATTTGTGAACAATTTCATTACCACTTTGTCATATGAAAAAATGACCAATACAAAAGGTGTAGATTTTGATGAGTTATTCAACTTTGGTATTTATCACTTTTTCAGCTGAAATCATTAGGGGTACCAAAATCTGGTCTGAAGTTGCATTTTTTTGAAATTCAAAATTTAAATTTCTCAAACTTTTCATATGTATATATTGACAAAACCAACAAAATAAATTGATATAGAATGATTTTAGAAAAATTTAGAAAAAAAAATCATCAAATTTGGAGTTAGTATGAGAAAGAAAAACTAGTTACAAAGTTGATTCACAGATTAAAAAAAAATCACACTGTTCACTATGATCATGTAAGGATCATTCAGAACAGTGTGATTTCTCTTTTTAATCTGTAGGTAAACTTTGTAACTAGTTGTTCTCCCTCATACTAACTGCAAATGTGATGGTTTTTTTCTAAAAATTTCTAAAATCATGCTTCAGCATTTAAGTTTGTTCAAACTTGGACGTGACAATGGTTTACACATTTTAAAATTTGAAATTTCACAAGTTCAAACTATATTTTCAAACCCTAAATGAATTCAGATGTAAAAGTGATGAATACAAAAGTTGTTCAACTCATCAAGATCTACAACTTTTATTTTGGTTATCTTGTCTTTTGACTAAATTTAAACCTTTCAAATTTGAAATTTTAAAAAATGACAAGTTCGAACCAAAATTTGAGACCCAAAATGATTTCAACATAAAAAGTGATGAATACCAAAGTTGTTCAACTCATTAATATCTATAAGTTTTATTTTAGTCATCTTGTTATTTGACAAAATTTGAACCTTTCAAATTTAAAATATTGAAAAACGACGAGTTCGAATCAAAATTTGAGACCCAAATTGATTTCAACATAAAAAGTTATTAGTACCAAAGTTGTTCAACTCATAAATATCTGCAACTTTTATTTTGGTCATTTCTTCATTTGATAAATTCTTAGCACACATTGTTCACTAATCTTACACATGTCTCATATAGTTTATAAAACCTTATGAGAGATGTGTCATATTTATGAACAATTTCATTATCACTTTGTCATATGAAGAAATGACCAATACAAAAGTTGTAGATCTTGATGAGTTATTCAACTTTGGTATTTATCACCTTTTCAGCTGAAATCATTTGGGGTACCAAAATCTGGTCTGAAGTTGCATTTTTTTGAAATTCAAAATTTAAATTGCTTAAACTTTTCATATGTATATATTGACAAAACCAACAAAATAAATTGATAGAAAATGATTTTAGAAAATTTTAGAAAAAAAATCATAAGATTTGGAGTTAGTATGAGGAAGAAAATCTAGTTACAAAGTTGACCCACAGATTAAAAAAAAATCACACTGTTCACTATGATTATGTAAGGATCATCTAAAATAGTGTGATTTCTCTTTTTAATCTGTAGGTAAACTTTGTAACTAGTTGTTCTTCCTCAAACTAACTCCAAATGTGATGGTTTTTTTTCTTAAAAATTTCTAAAATCATGCTTCAGCATTTAAGTTTGTTCAAACTTAGATGTGACAATGGGTTACACATTTTAAAATTTGAAATTTGACAAGTTCAAACCAAATTTTCAAACCCTAAATAATTTCAGATGTAAAAGTGATGAATACAAAAGTTGTTCAACTCATCAAGATCTACAACTTTTATTTTGGTTATCTTGTCATTTGACTAAATTTAAAACTTTCAAATTTGAAATTTTAAAAAATGACAAGTTCGAACCAAAATTTGAGACCTAAAATGATTTCAACATAAAAAGTGATGAATACCAAAGTTGTTCAACTCATTAATATCTACAACTTTTATTTTAGTCGTCTTGTCATTTGATAAAATTTGAACCTTTCAAATTTGAAATTTTGAAAAAACGACAAATGGAGGCTGCTGCAGGCGGTGGTGATTGAGCCGCCCTACAGATCGATCCCAAGCGTGAGGGGCGGCTCAAGTTACCAGCCGCCCCTCTGATTGCTCATCTAATAAGAGGTAATTTGGGCTGCTGGGGTCCGAGGACGCCCACTGTAGGGGCGCCCTCAACCCCAGCCGCCCCTACAGTAAAAATGCTCCCGTTCCTATAGTAAGAATTTGACGTAGTGCTAAACTTGGTTTGGTGGAAACTGAGACCACAATAAAATTTTCGTCCACAAGAAAACTACCCAGATGATCAGAGTCTAGATCAAATAATTATCTGATCTCTTACAAGAATTAAGGACTAATGCAATAGTGTTTAGAAGTTAGAAACACAACTAATAAAACATGTATATATACAGTTTGCAACCAGTTCCAAAATGCAGCATTAAAAATATTTTGGCTCTAGCCAACCTTCATGTTCTTGAAGCCACAAGTCACGTGATCTTTTCCGCGCTTGGTTTTAGTGGGTTCAAAATCCACCTCCTTACTCTCATCTATTCCTTCCTAATTACCATCCCATCACATAAGATACCATATAAGTAAATAGTATTTTCATAGGTGGTTCCTTATGTACCTTAGGGGTTACCAAATGTCATTATATCTATCTAGGGAGGCATGCTTGTTTTTTATCACCATTGTTTTACATGATCTTACATTCATATATACAATTATTTATTCATAGTGGCAAGGATTCTAGCTTTATGCTTTGTTGGTATCTCTTATGCTGTAGTAGCAAGTTCTGCAAGTGCATAGAATATTGTTGTAGCACTTCACTCAGGAGTATCCTAAAGTATCGTATTTTATCCTTAGGGAAAGGGTGACTAAGAGTATTATTAAGAAATATGTTAACTTGATTATATATGAACTAGCAAACCAAAGTCTAGATGGGGTTAACGATAATAAAAAGGTAGCTAAAGTCACATAGAAATAATTCCACTCTAGAAAGGTAAAGTGAAAGTGCAGTTAAGTGAGAGGACAGCGAGTGCGGGAGCATAACAATTCTTCTTTATCACAAATGTTTCTACCTTAGCTATAGATTAGCAATACAACAAGTATAACAAGATTAATGATTACACACCATGCACTTCGAGGCTCTGTTTCAGTCAAGCAGCATAAAAGATAACTTGTGCTATTACAGCTTCAGACCCTACACTTTAAGAACTTGCCCAAATACGTGGTGGATCGGTGTTAGGTGATTTAGCTCCGGCAATGCCTAGCAACTTGATCGCATAAGAGGAATTAGATGGTAACACACGAGACACAAGGATTTATACTGGTTCAGGCCGCAAGCGCGTAGAACCATAGTCCAGTCGGTGCTATTACTCTTCTTGTACTCGTATGCTCGATTACAGGGGTTGTTGTTCCTAGCTACGTAGTAGATTGGAATGAGATGAGGTCCATCCCAATTGCGAGGTCCCTACCCTCCTTTATATAGGCAGAGGGAGTAGGGTTACAATCAGGGCGATCATCTTAATAGATTGGATTCCTAGTTTGTTACACAGAGTGCGCAACAGATTGACCCTATGCTATCGTCTAGATATGCCTATCTTGGATATTTTCAATTTCCCTTGGTCTTCACGTTGATCGACCGCCTCGGCCCTCATGGGCCTCCTCCTTGACGGCTTTTGGCCTAATAGCTGGACGTGTTCGTATATACGAGCGGTGCAGGTACCCCTAGCCCATATATCTAACAATAGCCACCATAGGACTCAATGACAAGCTAGTTGGTAGCTTAGCCCTCGGGTTTCGCAGACCCCTGTAAGTTTCAAGTACTGTGAGTACCAGCAAGCTCCTTCTCGGGTACCGAGGTTTTGAGTAGCATAGCCTAATGTTTTCAAGAGTTGAAAACCAGTATGTATTTTTCTCGGGTGCTGAGATCCTTTCTCAGGTACCGAGAACTTCCCTCGGGTGCCGAGGGGCGTTATTGTGGAGATAGCACCGCTCGTCTAAGAACATAGGCGTTGTAAGCGCTTAGCTTGGGTGGTAACACCGCGTGCCTAGAAACGTAGTTTCTTGGTCATGGCCCTTGGGGTGTTGTCAACGCCATTTTCGGGTGGTAGCACCGCATACCTAGAAAGCGATTTCCAGGGCGTTGTGAACATCTTATTCGAGTGGTAACACCCTGTTGTCGAGAACTTGGTCCCCAACATATTTGGAAACACCATGAAGGCTTCAGTTGTTGCACGTCTTGAGTCTTATCCTAAAGAACGGATTGTCAGGATATGGTAGTTTGTACCGCCTAACGCAACACTATTTCTAGTTTGCTTATTACAAGTTAAACCGACTTAAGTTGGTTCCTGTTTGTGCAACACCAAGTGTTTCACGTTTTTCTTCAGGCCACGCTAAGTAGCAAGGTCCCGAATTTTTGTGGGCATCTTGACGAAAGGTGCAAGGCAAAGTCTCATAGCCCAGAGGCCAACATAGCAGTGTCCCGGGCCAAGAAGCACCGCGGGCAAATAACAAACGTGTGAGCAGTTGTCGATAGTTGCGTACATTACTCTTCGAGCTGATAGCGGGTAGAAGGAGTGAGCGTATGTGTACTAATGAATAGGGGCGATAGGACTAAGCCTGACCATCATGGGCACATCATAAAACTCTTTTTCCAGATTCTAGGAGCTCCTACTTTGGTTACAGCCCTTGGCCAATCAGTTTTATGGTTTCCCACATAGGGGTACACATCCACCGAAATAAGGTACTTCAAGCTCATTCGGGTACTCAGGAGATTTACGTGACACCGAATGTCAAAGGTTTTAGGATCGTACTGGTGAGCCTCTTGAATACCCCCTGACTCTTGAGATGGCAGGGTCGGTAATAAATAAATTATTACCGCTTACACCTGCCGAAGGGGTGTGAACCGGGCCGAGTACTCGATCTAAGTGTCAGATCACTTGCACCGGCTCGTGTGACGGTGCGTAAGGTTTGGGCTTCTAGACCCTATGGCCTCCACGGTTATACAGATGGGTTCCTTCTCGGCGAAGCTGAGGCATCAGTTTTGGTGGCCTTTCTCCCCACGCATGTTTCTCGGAGGTCGTGCCTCTTAGAGATCATGGGGATGTGCCTAGCCTTAACTCCCGCCATCGCCCGGAGAGATTGCTAGGTCTCCATCGTCCTTGTGTGTCCATTGCTTATAAAAACAGAGGAAAGGAAAGGGGTTAGTACACCTGTGTTGTAGCATATGCACACTCACCTTTCCTTGTTTGCCACCTTTTCCCCTTTCCTCCAGATCATCATTCATGGCCGGAGAGAAGCGCCCGAGGGAGGAACGAGAGGAGGGGCCGGCTGAGGAACGCGTGTTCCAAGGTCCTCCACTTCTTCGTAGGGATATTATGAGATTCGGGTAAGTATGAATCTGTCCCCAGCTCTTGTTTGAGGAAACCCTCATGGGTTGCTTAGCACAGGGCTATCTCGACGGCGCACTCCATTCAGTGGCCTTCCGTGGGCGGGCATGCCCTGTCATCATCGCAGCTATCGGTAGATTGGGCCGCGGCACCACTAGGCCCCTCCTCAGTTGATGAGGGGGCTGAACGTGGCAGGGGAACGTCCTCTCAGTGGTGCGAGAGCTGGACATGACCAGCCAGGCCCTCCATGACCAATGTCAGGAGGTAGAACGGCTGAGGGAATGCATCTCGGTCACGGAGATGGCGCTTGGAACCATGGATGAGGAAGCTGTTGTGGCTAAGGCCATGGCTATGGCGGCCCAGACGGAGCTCATTGGTAAGTTGGACTTCACCTTCTCTAGGATTTGTTTGAAGTAACCCGTGTCCTGATTTGTAGAGGGTTTTGTGTTCTTGTTCTTTTCAGACATGCAGCGGCAGTTGGCTGACGCCCAAGCTAAAGCAATGAACTTGTACCAGGCCAACGAGGGCTTGGCGGGGCGGCTGGTGGAGGCCTCCGGGATGAAGCTGCTGCCGGTGCGCGTAGCTCTGCTGCCATAGCGTGGGTCAACAGCAACCGCTACACAGCTCTGCAAGAAGCAGCAGCTATCGCCATCAAGTTGGTGCTGCCGGTGGGGCCAGGCTTTCATGAGTGGCTCCAAGGGCTCTTGGCACAGATCAAGGAGCTGGCGGCACACGGCGTTCGCCAACTTACCTCCACCGTCGTCCTGAGGTGGACCTACGCACGGTGGAGCCCGGGTTCCCGGTGGAAGCGGAGATGCCTGATGATGTCGATGTCGGGTAGTTGATCGCCGACTTTGGCACCGCCGCCAATGCCATTGCTACTGTGGTCAGCGTGGAGCAGGTCATCAAGGACACTCCTCGTCAGTGCTAAGTTCCCTCGTCAACTTGTTCTCTTGTAAAAAGAAACATCTGAATAAAATTTTGATTTGCAAATTAGTGGATCCCTACAAACCTTCTCGTAATGTGCAAAGTAGTATCCCCTAAACACTTGGGTAGGTTAGCATAATGCTTCTGAGTGTTTGGATTTGCCATTTTGTACAGCGTTCTGATCTATGCATGCCACCCAAGTAGAATGAGTCAATGTCGTGAGATCATGTTTGGCTTGGGTACAAGTGTTGTGGCCCGCGTATAGCCCCCGGGGGTTTCAAACTGAGTTTCGTTCGGGCTAGTGTAGCCATACTCAGGATGTGTTCTGGTCAGTTAGCGTTGCTATGCCAACGAGTGGAGTCTTAGGATCGGTTTTGTAGCCCCTGAATGCCTTGTTATGTTAGCGTAACATCATTTGGGCTAGTGTAGCCATACTCAGGATGTGTTCTGGTCAGTTAGCGTTGCTATACCGACGAGTGGAGTCTTAGGATTGGTTTTGTAGCCCCCGAATGCCTTGTTATGTTAGCGTAACATTTCAAGGTGTTGAGAATGCCTTGTTATGTTAGCATAACATTTCAAGGTATTGAGAGAGAAAACACTTGTCAAGGACATTGTGTAGAATTAGAACTTAGCCACCGAGCAACCTGAGGGAGTAGCTCCCAGGCCTCGGTGGCACAAGACTATTATTCACATCAACCTGAGACATGCATGACATAAAAGAAAAAATATAAACTAGATGCACTGATGACATAGCTGAGTCTCGCTCGTCATCCTACATCCTGAAACTGCTCGAGACCGGCCCGAGACATTGTAGAAGGTGTCACCAATGCGTTAGGTCTCGACCTTGGAGCTGTTGTCCATGGCTTGGTCATCCCCTTTTCCTCTGGCTTTGGTTCCTCGGGTGCCTCCTGGGGCACTGAGATCATTGGTGAGGCTCAAACCAGAGGGATGGCGGGTAGCACGCTGGCTGGGGTGACCGGCATAGTTTGATGCTTTGGGGACGGGAGCGCGCATCTGGAGGTTCCGAACTCGTCTTGCGCTTGGTCTCGTCGTCGAGTCTCATCCCAACGAGAATCAGTGCAGGCTTGTTGGTATTTCTTAACGTCTACAAAATTAATCCACAAGCACACATAATTACCATTGTAAGTTTCACCCGGGAGTATTAAGGGTGTCGGGTATCGATATTAGGGATACCCAAAGCAAGGAAGTGAGCACTCACGCTGACTTCCTCGGATGGCTCGAGACGTATTAAAAGGTCTCGCCCGACCCAAAGGTCGTGGGCTCCGTCTCGCTCGACCTCAAGGTCGTGGGCTCTATCTCGCCCAACGCTAAGGACGCGGGCTCCATCTCGCCTGACCTTGAGGCCACGAGCTCCGTCTCGTCCGACCCTAAGGATGCGGGTTCCGTCTCTCCTGACCCCTTAGGTGTGGGTTCCATCTCGCCTAAGGTCACGGGCTCCATCTTGCCCGACCCTAAGGACACGAGCTTCGTCTTGCACAAGGTGGCGGGCTCCGTCCCGCCAGACCTCAAGGACACGGTTTCTGTCTCATCCGACAGGGACCCATACCATCACCAACCACTCCAGGTCCAAGCGTATGGGCCTGGGTCAAAACTCTAATGCCAGGGAAGAGGCTAGCATGCCTTGATGTAACCTGTGGCCATGATGGGCCATACCTGGGGATTCACATCAAGGACAGTGTCGGACGTGTCGGTGCTGTTCTTCCTAATCCTCGTACGGACGCTAACAGGCGTGTCAGTTCACCATGATGTCCGTCGGGACAGAGTGGAATGCCATGACCGGCAGATGACGTCTGTGCATGGCTCTAGTGACGAACAGGGCCACAACATGGAGCTGTCCCTATTGACATCTACAGGTTCAGTGGGACCCGCATGAAGGAGAAGAAGGACCCGGCGACCCTGGAAGCCTTTCTCTCTCTCTCGTTCATCTACTTTTCCTCCTCTGTAACCCACGCTTTCCCTTCGCCTATAAAAAGGGAAGCAGGGTGCCCCATGAAAGGAGATGGAGATCTCGTCATGGAGATCAGAACATGAGATAAAAATACAAGAGCACGACACGAGCACACGGCTAAGCGACAAGCGACCTCTTAGCACCTGTTCACTTCTTCCACCAAAGACTTTGGATCCTCTCTCTCTCTCGCTTGTTTGTAACCCCTACTACAAACCAAGTGCTGGTAACATGAGCAACAGCGAACTGGATGTAGGAACGTTCTACCCAAACCAGTATAAACCCTTGTGTCCTCCGAGCACACCATCCGAGCCAGACGTGCAAATACAAATTAACTAGTCGGTGATCCAAAAAACACCGATAGTTGGCGCGCCAGGTAGGGGCTTTTTGTGTGTCTCAACATCCACATCAGGCCTCGGATGGGATGGCTAGTCACAGCGTCAGCTAGGTCCCGGGCTCGCACGTGCGCTTCGGGAACCTGGACTTCATCATTACGATGGAGGGAGAGTTGGCGCAGGTTCCCATCGCTGTCCAACCTCTCCACTCCACTAGCCTCGACGCAATCGCTAAGGCGCTTGAGGAGCTACAGCTGCACTCACCAGAGGCCTGCTCCCCCGGGAGTGACCAGGTCCTCGGCTTCGATTATGGGAGGCTAGAGCGCCAGCTCGGCGCCTTCCTGGGACCCCGACCGTCCCAGGAGGATCTGTGCTGCCTCACCTTCTTGTTCGCCAATATCATGACGTAGCTTGCCGGAGGAGAGCCGCTCTCCCTGGAATGCCTCATCCAAAGCTCCCTGACAGCGCTCACATTCGGTATGCGCAACGCAGCAGAGACCATTGGCCACCTTGTGGCGCAACGCATGCCCCCATCCCCTATGAACGACGAGTTCGTGGGGATGACCGAATACGTTGTGGAATCTTTCCACGATCTTCTCGTGGGAGAATCAGAGTCGCCCTCCGACTCTGACTCCAACAGGGGGAGCCATCACCCCTCGCAAGAATGTTTCATGGCAGGTACCCCTGAGGGATGCATCGAAAGCATCCATGAGTGAGGGGCTACCCCAACAGATGACCTCAACAATGAGGTCGAGAGGGATGTAGGGCCCCCACCACGCCTATGGGTAGAGCAGCTGAGGGCGCAACACCAAGACCTCGAAGAAGCACAGCTCCAGCTCAAGCAAAACACGTGGGGCTCGAGCGAGAGATCGAGCACCACAGAAATGGTGGGCGTCTGCGAGCCGTGGCCCACGATGAAGAATAAAGATGCCCAGTAGTAGGGTGGAGGGCAAAAGCTTTGGGATGGAACTGAAGAAGGAGCTCTGAAGAGCCTTCCTCTCATGTCACCCCTTGTCTCTGCTGTTATATACTTTGCGGGTTGTGGACCACCCCTCAACCCACGCACGCGTGCCAGGGCACCCACGACCCCACATATGACGCAAGAGTTGACACGATCTGTATTTTGTTGTTTCATCAAAACTATTATCCGGTCTGTCAAGATTTCTAAGTATCGGACTTTCTTCGGCCCTATTTGGATGGACTGCAACTAGTTAGTCATGGCTAAAAAATAGCCAACTAAAAACTATCCAATTAGTTGTGTTATTAGTCCATACCTGTTTGTATCCTAAACTAATTGTTGGGTTCTATAGACTAGAACTAGTTGTTAGCCCCTAAAAGTCGGGTTCTATGGACTAGTTGGATGGCCCCTAAATTTCGTAGAGATCTAGATCGTCTATATTTCATAGGGTCAGACTGTCTTAGGGTCCAGAAAATTTCAACATCTATACACCCACGTTCTCCGCTTAGAAAGGGCGAACATCGTTAGTATATTACAGATTAATAAGAGAACCAGAAAGAAATCTATAGGCAAAAGCAACCAACAGGGGATAGAAACCAGTTACCAAATGACCAAAACAACCTGAGCTACACTACGCTCAATAGAGTTTAGCCCACCTAATATAAAGTTCAACAAAAGTTAACACAGACATGCATGCAAATAAGACTTCACATACAGTCGTCCCATAGACCAAACCTAGTCATGACTTGTACTACTAATACGTCCCACAGATCAAGGGTCGAGGTGGGCGTGCAGGATGTCGTCCATGTTCACCTCCGCTAAGATGGAGTTGGGGACCAGCTCGAGGCTCATGAACAATGGAAATGTACTCGAGCGATAGAAAGTTCAGCCGCAGATGTAGTCGCACACATAAAAAAATCGCCAGATGCAGCGCAATAAGCTACAACGATCAAGTTTATCTTTTCTTTTTTTGGTAATTTTTAGGTGTCAAATTCATAGATCTTTTAATTATTTATTATCATCCTCTTTTAGTTTTATGTTTATATATATTATGGAAAAACCTAAAAGGCAACAACTAACTGATCGCATATATAAACAGGTGCGCAAGAGAAAAAAAAATAAAAAGACGGATATTAGGTAAGTAACATTTTGTCGTAATCCTTTCCTACTAAAACACGGACTAAATTTCGGTCTCTACTGAGCAGACGGGGCCATTTGCCCGTCCAAAAATTTGATTTCACACCACGCCGAGCAATCCTACCAACACTCACAAAAAATTAGATGTCTATCTTTTACTCTCCACGTGGAAAATAGGTTTACCACGCCATCGATTTTAGGCAAGGGCATTTGTGGTAATGTGATGGCCACATAAAAGCGCAAAGAGTTGTCGTCTCCACCTTCATCTCCATTCTCTAGCTCCAAATCCTAGTCCTATGGCCTCCCTCTCCACTCTCCAGCCGCACCCTCTCTCATACATTTGCGAACACTAGCCAGAGCTAGATCCCCTTTGATTCATCGATAGCAAGTCAACTGATGGCGGAAGCACCGCCTCGATGATGGTACAAGCCAGATCTAGATCCCCTACCTCGGCACTTGTCATGATCGACCGGATCTAAACCCTAGCCAGAGCCAAATCTGGTACCCCTTCATCAACGTCGGCCGCACCTGCTCCGCGACCACGATGACAAGATGCCGGTGCCGAGGACAAAGCGTAGCTAGGGAACACGAAGAAAGAGGTACCCAAATTCTTTTTATGATGTGTGATCTACTGTAGTGGCTGAACCAAGGATATGTAGATAGCGATAGGGTTACATATTTCCTATAGTTGAGTGTAGCTGACATGTGCCTTATTGGATTAATGACTTTTGTATAAGCTGTAGTTACTCACTAGGCACTTATTTGCATACTCTTGCTCTGTTGTGTTGATATCAGTAGAAGCTTTAGTTAATAAATGCATTTGTAATCTAGATGAACAACCACTAACTGCTTACAAACAAGAACGGGATGCACAAATCACAAGGAATCATAAAAAGATGGAAGAACTTGGAATACGTGTGGGCCCAAAACCTATGTGTCCAAGGGCAAAAAAGTCAAGCACAAAGGGTAGACACGTTGAAGATTTGGAATATATCCATGAACCACGGGAGGTAGTTGAGGGATTTGATAATACAGATGAAACAGATTTAGATTTAGAAGATGAGCCAGTGCCCCTATCAATTGAGGTGCTTGTTCTATCTTGTATTTAGTTCGAAAGGGGAGTGGGGGTGTAGGTAGCCATGCAATGCTTTATTGTTTGGGTAGCAATGTAATTTGTACATGTTTGCTGCTTAAGTTTGTATCTTCAATTTCAGTGTCCGGGTCAAAGAAGCCATAGAGGAGGCTCGGCCAGTAGGACAAAAGGCAGCACTGCCATGAGTCCTGGGCAAAAGCACTCCAAGCGAGTGAAGTCAACACAACCAGAATAGGTTGCTCATGGAGTTTGTACTCTGAGGGGTGCCACTAGCAAAAGGGTGGAGGTATCAGCAGTAGGTGAACATAATTCTCCATCACAATAGACACCCGTACCTAGGGATCAATTCCATGTTCATGAATTGACTAGAGACATTTGTCAGGACACCAGCCCTATGAGAGACTCATCATGGCCAGATGATGATAGCCATGCCAAAGAGGAGCCCTCTCAGCAAACTCCCATCTCCCCCACCCGCAGAACAATAAAGTTGCCAATGTTGGTATTACCTTATAGATGTCTATAAAC